GTAAATTCTCACTAAATTACTCAATAAATTCCTAGTAGATTCTCAGTAAATTCACCGTAAATTCTCAGTAAATTTTGCGTAAATCACTTAGTAAATTTCTAGTAAATTACTCAGTAAATTCCCTGTAAATTCTCAGTAAATTCCCTTTAAATTCTCACTAAATTACTCAGTAAATTCCCAATAAGTTACTCAATAAATTCCCAATAATTTTTCAATAAATTATTTTGTAAATTCCCAGTAAATTACTCAGAAAATTCTTTGTAAATTCTTAGTAAATTACTTAGTAAATTCCTAGTAAATTCTCAGTAAATTTAAATAAATTGTCAATAAATTACTCATTAAATTTCCTATAAATTCTCAGTAAATTTAAATAAATTGTCAATAAATTACTCATTAAATTTCCTGTAAATTCTCAGTAAATTACTCAATAAATTCCCAGTAAATTCCCTGTCAATTCTCAGTAAATTACTCAGTAAATTCACATTAAATTCTCAATAAATTAATATGTAAATTTTTAGTAAATTATTCAGAAAATTCCTAGTAAATTCTCAATAAATTACTCAGTAAATTTCTAGTAAATTCTCAGAAAATTGCCCAGTAAATTCCCAATAAATTCTCAGCAAATTACTTAGTAAATTGCCAGAAAATTTTGAGAAAATTACTCAGTAAATTCCCTATAAATTCTCAGGAAATTCCCAGTAAATTCACAGTAAATTACTTAGCAAATTTCAATAAATTCTCAGTAAATTACTTAGTAAATTTCCTGTAAATTTTAAGTAAATTACTTAGTAAATTCTCAGTAAATTCTCATTAAATTTCACTGTAAATTCTCAGTAAATTCCCTGTAAATTCTAAGTAAATTACTTAGTAAATTACTTTGTACATTACTCTGTAAATTCTCAGTAAATTAGTCAATAAATTATTAGTAAATTCACAGTAAATTCTCAATAAATTACTCAGTAAATTCCCTGTAAATTTCCAGAAAATTTTCAGTAAATTACTCAATAAATTATCCGTAAATTCATAGTAAATTCTTAGTAATTTACTCAGTAAATTGTCAGTAAATTGTTAGTAAATTACTCAGTAAATTCCCAGTAAATTACATAGTAAATTTTCTGTAAATTCTCAGAAAATTACTCAGTAAATTTCCAGTAAATTACGTAGTAAATTTTCTGTAAATTCTCAGAAAATTACTCAGTAAATTCCCAGTTAATTTTCAGCAAATTACACAGTAAATTCCAAGTAAATTTTTAAAAAATTAGTCAGTAAATTTTCAGTAAATTCTCAATAAATACTTCATAAATTCCTAGTAAATTCTCAGTAAATTTCAATAAATTCTAAATAAATTACTCATTAAATTTCCTGTAAATTTTTAGTAAATTACTGAGTAAATTCATAGTAAATTAATCAATAAATTCCCAGTAAATTCTCAGTAAATTCCCTGTCAATTCTCAGTAAATTACTTAGTAAATTCTCAGTAAATTCATATTAAATTCTCAGTAAATTAATCAGTAAATTCTTAATAAATTACTCAGTAAATTCCCAGTAAATTTTTAGAAAATTATTCAGTAAATTCTCAGCAAATTACTCAGTAAATTACTGAGAATTTCGAGTAAATTTTGAGTAAATTCCTAGTAAATTCTATGTAAATTCCTAGTAAATTTTCAGAAAATTGCTCAGTAAATTCCCAGCAAATTCCTCAGTAAATTTTCATAAAATTATTCAGTAAATTCCCAGTAAATTCTCAGCAAATTACTCAGTAAATTGCTGAGAATTCTGAGTAAATTTTGAGTAAATTACTCAGTAAATTCCTAGTAAATTCTATGTAAATTTCCAGTAAATTTCCAAAAAATTACTCAGTAAATTCCCAGCAAATTACTCAGTAAATTCCCAATAAATTTTCAGAAAATTACTCAGTAAATTCCCAGTAAATTTCTAGTAAATTCCAATAAATTCTCAGTAAATTCCTTGTAAATTCTTAGTAAATTTCTTAGTAAATTTTCAGTAAATTCTCATTAAATTACTCTGTAAATTGACTGTAAATTCTCAGTAATTAATTAGTAAATTTGTAGTGACCCTCATCCTCATCTTAGTCATGTTCATGTGCATCTGCATGTTTTGTTTTGTTAAGCTTGCACTTGTGGTTTTGACTTGTTTTGCCTAAAGTAAGGTTTCCGTCTTGTTTTGTACCTATGTGTTTTGGCTTGAGTATTGTTTGTACGTCTTGTCCCTTGCTTGGTGTGTGTAGCCGAGGTCATCTTAAGCCTAGGCCACGCCTTTGGACCTTTTACACCTAGGACCATCTTGGAAGCACTTTGGCTGACCTCCACCTTCACCCTGGCATATTGGCCGAGATGTCATCATCTAGGCTGAGGTGTGCATCACCGAGGCCGACATATGTATCATCTAAGCCGAGATGTTATCTTTTAGGTATTTTAGATCTTTGATCCCTGCACCTGGTGATCTTGTTCCTGGACTGGTATGACCTAGATCGAGGTGTGGCACACCTAGGCCGAGTGTTAACCTTCCTAGCCGAGATCATTGAGACCTTACTTGCTGAAGCCTTGTCCTAATCCGAGGTCCTTACCTGTCGGAGTGCCCATGTCACCTTACTTGTTGGACACCCTTTGTCATGCTTTTGTCTTGTCATTCAGTCACATTTTTTAGGAAACCTAATCCGGTAGTGCCACGTGCCCCAACAGAGGGTTAAGTTAGCCGGCAGTGGGAGAAAACATATCATTGTGTGTCATATTTGCATGGTAGAGAGAGAAGCTCTAGGAAGAAGAGGAAGAAGTTCTTAGAGTGAGAATAGATTTCCAAGCTTGATCCTTAGAGTTTGAACCGTTGCATTCGTGTTTTGAGGTTAGATTCTTGTTTTGTTCTTGTTGTTCTTTATGCTCATCTAACTACATTGTATGATCTAGCATGATTCATGAGCCATGCATTGCTTTGAAATTCGGTTTTAGGAAGAGAAAATGATGTTCTTGTGTTTTTGAAAGAAAACCATGTTTTGATCCAAAAGTTTGTATCAAGATCTATGTTTTTGTGTTTATTCTCATAAGATCTTCAAGTATGGGTGCCCAAGTCCATGTTTTCGAACTCATCTTATGAAATCTCAGATTTTGAATAAAGAAGTTATGATCTTAGCATTCATGTTCTTCAAAGGGAAACCCAGGTTTTCCCGACTTCATTTCCTCGAATGTGGCCGTTGGGACCATACCTCGGCCAAAGGGTGTGGGACCTCAGCCAAGACCTAGTTGGTACCCAGCATATTTTCCCCGAGATGAAAAACAGCGTTTTAACTTCCAACATGTTTTGCTTTGACTTGACCTAGTTTTGAAAGAAATGCCGAGAACTTTTCCTGCCATGTAAAGCTTGTTCTAAGGGTGCGTTTCATATCCATCTTTGAGCATCTCTTCTTGTCTTCTTGAAATACATTCAATGGAATTTATTATGTGCTTGTAGGCCTTGGATCCTTGCCTTAATCCCTACACCGGAAGAGCTATGTGAGTAGTATTTCCAATAAAGTTATGTTATAAAGTTTTGATAAAGCTTTGTTTTGTTTTGGAAAAGTATTTGATCAAGCATGAATGATTGTCTCTAGTTTTGTATCTAGTATTATATTTATTTTGATGACATTCTGGGAAAGTCCTTAGTGCCAGGGGACTATAATGCAACTGCACCCTTGTTTTGAAAGTCCTTAGTGTCAGGGGACTATAATGCAACTGTACCCTTGTTTTGAAAGTCCTTAGTGCCAGGGGACTATAATGCGACTGCACCCTTGTTTTGCCACTGACGATTTTTAGCATGGGTTTGTCCGGAATGTCATTCCTTGTATTATATTGATGCTAGTAAGCATCCCTTGAAGCTTTGAAAGACTTGATAGATGAACTTGATAGATGAACTTGGTCCATCCCTTGTTTTTGTACAAGTTATGCTATGTATTGTTTTGATAAAGATCTCGAATATCATTCATTTTAAACCTTTATTTCTAATATCATTCACTGAGTATCCAAGCTCACCCTCTCCTTATATATATGTAGGTGACGAGCAAGAAGGCGGTGACGCCTAGATGTGTTTTGCATGATGTTTTGGATTCATACTTTTGCTAGCATCTTGAAGATCATGCTTCTGGCTTTGTAGTATATTTCTTTTGTATATGTCGGCTTGAGAAGCCTTTTGATCAAGATGCAATATGTACTTTATTTTGTTTGTATTCAAATTGTAAACCATGTTAAAGTGTATGACATTTCATTTGATCTATGCACCGCTCTTATGGACTATTTAGATTTAAATTTCTTGCTTCTGCACACGTAAGCCCCATATGTATACTCTGATTGTGTGTGAACTTGGTAAGTTGGCCTTTGGTAATCTCGGATTACTGGCCATCATGGCACCATTCTACTAGGGGTGGAACAGGTTCGTGACAGATTGGTATCAGAGCACCAGTTCCTTATAGTACGTTACTCACACACACTTGAGTCCTAAAGAGCATAGGATTTTCCTTAGAATGATATTAGGATTGCATCATATTGCTTGCTACTTGACAAGGTGTGCATCATCTCGGCATGATCATTTGTTGCTTGCATGCTTGTCTATTTGTTCATTTCATTTTAAAGTCACATTTTGCATACTCCTAGCATCATGAGAAGGGGTAGACCTCCAGTTGGCCGAGATCATTCTGACGACAGATTGGACAGATTAGAAAGATTGGTCGAAGGGTTGGTCCGTGAGTTGAGACAACCTAGGCCGCAAGACACTAGCACCACCTCTACTCAGGCCGAACAGACAAACGGCCGACATGCAGCTCCACCTCCACCTCCTCCAGTGCCGCAAGTGCCACCACAACAAGCTTTATATGGGAACGGTACGATAACCTTGATCAAAGAGTTTAAGAAGATGAACCCGCCGAGATTCCAAGGGGGTATAGAGCCGATGAAAGCCGAAGCATGGGTTTTGGAAATAGAGAAGTTGTTCAAGATTTTTTCCAGCACCGACGCTCAGAAGGTGTCATTAGCAGCATTCACATTGGATGATGATGCTCGAAGATGGTGGATGATGATCCGAGAAGGCAATTCAGGTTTAACTTGAGCCAGATTTTTAAAGTTGTTTTATAACAAGCATTTTTCCCTTAGTGTCCGAGATCGCAAGACCACGGAATTCCAGACTCCGACACAAGGCAACAAGACAGTGGCAGAATACGACCGTGCTTTTACTGAATTGGCGAGATATGCGCCTCACATGGTCGATGACGAATATAGAACAGCTAGGAAGTTTGAAAGTGGACTGTGTGGACCGATACAAGATTTAGTTAACATGCTCAAAATGTCGACTTACGCCGGAGTGTTAGACAAGGCCATTCTAGCATAAGCCAACTTGAATCGATACCAGAGTTCAGCAGAGAGCCAGAAGAAGAGACAAAACTACAAGAATCATCGAGTACCGTTTAATGCCAAAAAGAAGGCGAATATGGGCAGTTCCAGCAACTCAAATCAGGGAGGTGATACTAAGCCGACGTGTGCAAGTTGTAGGAAGCCACATTTTGGAGTCTGTCGTTGGGCGTCAGGAGCTTGCTTTGAATATGGAGAGGTAGGTCATCGTGTGAAGGACTGCCCGAAGACAAAGGTTGACGATGGTAAGAAGAATGGGAACACTTCGGGCTCTGCACAGAAAAACAATGTCAGAAGGACGCAGGCGAGGCAGGGTAGAGTTTTTGCATTAGTGCTAGGAGACACCCAGAGTGCCGAGATAGTAGTGTCAGGTAGCCTTCCAATTTGCTCTCAAGATGCATATATATTGATTGATTCGGGTTCTACGCATTCATTTGTATCTGCTAAATTTGTCGCGAAGTTAAATAGAGAGCTAGAACCTCTAGGTTATGTGTTATCTGTGTCTACTCCATCTAGAAGAACTATGACTGTTGCATCCATTTATAGAGCATGCGTTGTTATGATTAAGAATGTTGAATTATTAGTTGATTTGATGTCGTTAGACATAACTCATTTTGATGTTATATTGGGAATGGACTGTTAGTGGAAAACCATGCATCCATTAATTGTGTTTCCAAAAGTGTCGTATTGAAACCCCCAAACCAAGTCGAGGTTACATTTCGGGGTAAGGGAGTAGTACTGCCACCTTACTTGATCTCATCCATGAAAGCTTATAAGTTAATCCAAAAAGGGTGTCGAGGTTATCTGTGTAGTGTACTAAGTAATCCGAATGGAAACATCGAAATGGCCGATATCCCAATTGTTAATGAATTCCCCAACGTCTTTCCAAATGATTTGCTGTCACGACCCCAAACCGCCCCTAGTAGTTTGGTGCCGTGATGGCCAGTAATCCATAATTACCGATGGCCAACTTCCTAGAGTTAAACAAGATCAGAGTATAATAAACGGGGCTCTCAAATGCGGAAGAAATAAATCAACAATCAAGTGGTCCATAAGAGCAGTGCATAGATCCAATGTAATGGCATACATCTTGACAAGCTTGAATACAACAAAAGCAAAATATGTGTTACATCTTGATCAAAAGGCTTCTCGAGCCGACATATATAAAATACAGTGAGTACAAGCCAAGAAGCATACAAGTTGGAGTTCACAAGCTAAATATACAGAAGCACAGATCATAGAGTCTCCCAAAGGTGAAGACACACACAACAGATAAGACAATTTTTCTTCAGTTTTATCTAAATTAGGAGCAAATAATTTCGACACAAAAGAGTGGGTGGAGCCAAAATCAAACAATACATAAGCAGAATGACCGTGAACAATAAATGTACCTGACACCACTGTTGCCGCATTTTGCACATCTCCTGGAACCAATGTGAACACCCTGCCTTGCCTCGCAGTGTCTTTATTGTTAGTAGGTTTAGCAGTTGTCTTAGTGTTGGGAGTTGGGGTAGACCCCGCTGAACTGGTAGCAGCCCTATTGATGTTTTGTTGATTCCTTTGAGGGCAATCCCTTATCAAATGACCTGGTTTGCCACAATGAAAACAGGCTCCAGACTTCCGATAACACGTCCCATGATGCTTCTTTCCACATTTCGGACAAACAGGAATTGAATCCTGACTAGGCGTAGAAGTATTTGAAGTCCCTAAATTTTGTTTCTTGTTTGGTGGAGTAGTTGTCCCCTTTGACCATTCAGTATTCTGCCCCTTCCCTTTCCATTTAGAAATTCGGTTCTGAGTAACGAGGTTTCCTTCTGCTATAACAGCCCTCTCCAACACATCGACATAAGTAGGCAACTTCAACATGTTGACCTTGTCCAGGATAGCACTCCGTAATCCCCCTTCAAATTTGCGCGCCTTCTTGTAATCTGTGTCCACCATATGAGGTGCAAACCGGGCTAGTTCTGCAAATTGGGCTTCATATTCGGCAACGGTTTTGTTCCCTTGTCTGCGAGTGTCGAATTCTGTCACCTTCTTATCTCGCATACTTTGAGGGAAATACTTATCATAAAACAGTTTTAGGAATCTATCCCATGTTAATCCTGGGTGTATGGTCCTTGTAAGCATCCACCATCTCCGCGCCTCATCCTCGAGAGTGAAGGCAGCCAGTTGCATTTTTTGGGCTTCAGCGCAAGGAAAAACTTCAAATAACTTTTCTATTCCCAACACCCATGCCTCAGCTTTCATTGGTTCTATCCCTCCTTTAAATGACGGCGGTTTCATCTTGTTAAGCTCCTTGGTACGGGTAATGGTCTGATCTTCAACATGAAAATCTTGTACTACAGGTGGAGGTATCGGTGGTGGTGGCGGTTGTTGTTGTTGCTGCTGTTGTTGCCGTAAGGTTTCCACCATCTCCATAATCATTCTTTCCATCATGTCCAACCGTGCAGAGGTAGCATCTTCTGGGTCTTTTGTCCTTGTTCTCACCATAGTCTACACAACAATCAATTATATAACATAGACATAGTTCAAAATTGTTAGCATTAGCAGAGTACATGTAATGTTGCTATCGATCTTTTCTTCCACTTCCAGGATGTCATGCACAATGCCTAAATCTTTTCTAGACACCCTAAAGCTCAATGGATTCGTGTGTGAGATAGCAACTCGTGCTCTGATACCACTTATCACCCCCCAAACTCACCCCTAAAAGTTTGGGCATGATCTATTCAGAAACAGACATTTAACCTGATATACATAACGTACGGGGCCTTAACGGAAGCATTAGATAACATAGAATAATAGAAACAAACTCCATTGAGCTACTACTACTACTATGCCAGGATCACAAACATCAAAACAAGCAAATAAAATCCAAAACCTACACCTGGGCATCGGTTATATACACGTACATATATAGGCCCAGCCCTATGATTGGGCGTATAACAAAAAACATTGTGGAAGAAAGTATTATACACATTTCAACCTTAGGCCAATAATTAAAGTGCAATGCCAAAAGTTCGCCAAACTTCACAAAAATGTGAGTGGCTTCATCTAGGGCCTAGACACATAAAGGTTGACAAAAGAGGACGAGCGTCATGGCTTAGGACTGACCACTTGGTTGGTTACCTACAGAAACAGACATAACACGGGGTGAGCCAGGCTTAGTGAATAGTAATACTTTTATAATTTGATGCTCAACTTAAATTATAATACAAATCAATGCATACGTAAATGAAAAGATTACATGTTTAATCTGATTCTGTATTTATTGCAGAATGGCCTTGGCCCAATCTTGAAACATGATGGCTTTAAGCCCTTGAACGGAGTGGCAATAAGCCCTTGAACATATTGGCATTAAGCCCTTAAGCATGTTGGCATTGAGCCCTTAAACATGTTGGCATTAAGCCCTTGAAAATACATGTACGAGCCCAAGAGGTGTCTCACACGGATTCTAGAGGTGACTCACATCGTAGCACTTAGTTCCGTGTAGCACTTTGTTTCATACCATAACAACTTAAACGGAATGGCCATAGGCCCAGATATCTTCAAAGCAAACTGATTTCAGCGTCTTACAACATTCCATAGTCATGTGAAAGTCGTTTCATCCTTTCCATTAGTCATTCTCATTTTTAAAATCATTCACATGGTTACATAATTAACAAAGTTAACAGAATGCTAATGACAGACATTAGCTAGAGTAAAGCGTACTACTACTCACAGTGTTGTGCCGACGTACTAGTTCCTCCCGGAGTGTGTCCTGCACACATTCATAACTTGCAAATTAGTTTATTCTCTTAATTGAATCATTTCCGGATTCATTTCACTTCAAATGACTTTTACACACAGTAATAGGTATAAAATACAAATTCTAAAATATTCGAGGGTCCAGCATGCAAAACGGAGCAAACAGTTTTTCTCAGCATGGGCCGCACATGCGGCTGTGAGCCCCGCACGTGCGGCAAAGACTCCCGTACGTGCGGCAAAGACTCCCGCACGTGCGGCAATGATGCCCCGCACGTTCTTTTTAGACAGTACCCAAAGTGCCAAAATCCTTCATTTCCCGCACGTGCGGCCATGACTCCCGCACGTGCGGCTGTGGTTCCCGCACGTGTGGCCATGACCCCCGCACGCACGGCGATTCTGCATATTTTCTGTCCAAAAATTCAAGCAAAACCTCAACTTTTGGTGAACATTAACAAGGCTCAAATTAGCTTCCTTAATTGATAGAACATGGTCTAAAATTCATGCTAATAGGATCTTCAAACACACACATCAATCTAGATATAAATTAACTCTTTCATTCCTCAATATAACATAATTTTCTTTCGCATTCAACATCACATATATATATATATATAAGGTAAGTTCTTCATGATCTTTCATGAGAAAGTAAGCAATCAAAGCTAATTTCTCCACATACATACATAAGCAACTTAGTTCAAACTCATCCAATGGATAAAACATGATCCAATTTCACCTTGGGTTCAATTATCATGGTTGTATCACCCTCAAATTCAAGAGAGGAATTATAAAAGTTAGACAAACTTACCTTGAGTTGAGATCTCCCAAAGTCTCTCTAGGTTATTCAATCTCTAGCCTTTATTGAAACTCCCTTCTCATTTCTCTCTACTCTTACTCTCACTATCCTTTTCCTAATGAATTCCCCGACGTCTTTCCGAATGATTTGCCTAGCCACTTAGTCGATAGAGAAGTAGACTTTACTGTTGACGTTATGTCGGGAACCCATCTTGTCTCCAAAACACCCTATAGAATGGCCCCAGTCAAGCTTAAAGAGTTGAAGCTGAAATTACAAGAGCTGTTAGATAAGGGCTTCATTAGGCCGAGCACTTCACCTTGGGGAACACCAGTTCTATTTGTTAAGAAAAAGGATGGTACACTTCGTCTTTGCATTGATTACAGAGAACTGAACAAAGTAACCATTAAGAATAAGTACCCATTGCCGAGGATTGATGATTTGCTTGATCAACTACAAGGATCACGAGTCTTTTCCAAAATTGACCTCAGGTCGGGCTACCATCAGCTCAAGATTAAAGCCGAAGATGTTGAGAAGACTGCTTTTCGGACGAGGTATGGCCATTACGAATTTTTTGTAATGCCTTTTGGAGTGACTAATGCTCCTGCAGCATTCATGGACTTGATGAACAGAGTCTTTAAGCCTTACCTAGACGAGTTTGTGGTTGTCTTCATCGACGATATATTGATCTATTCCAAGAGTGAAGTTGAGCATGAGAAGCATCTGAGACTTGCCTCACAGACTTTGAGGGACAGGAAGTTGTATGCCAAGCTTAGCAAGTGTGAGTTTTGGCTTTCCAGCATTTCATTTTTGGGGCATGTGATTAATGAAGAAGGTATTTCAGTTGATCCTAGCAAGGTTGAAGCCGTTGTAAATTGGCCGAGACCGACTAATGTATCCGAGGTTCGTAGTTTTTTGGGTTTGGCAGGTTATTATAGGAAGTTTGTGAAGGACTTCTCGAAGATTACAATACCATTGACACAATTGACTCAAAAAGGAGTGACATACGAATGGACCGAGGGTAGAGAAGCAACCTTCCAGGAACTCAAGATGAGGTTAGTGACTGCACCAGGTCTTGTACTACCTTCAGGTAATGAGGAATTTCATATTTATAGTGATACATCACATAAGGGTTTGGGTTGTGTATTAATGCAAGGGGGTAAAGTCGTAGCATATGCATCTCGTCAATTGACACCCCATGAGAAGAACTATCCCACCCATGATCTTGAATTAGTAGCCGTAGTATTTGCTTTGAAGATTTGGCGTCATTACTTGTATGGAGCTTCTTGCCAAGTTTTCACAGATCACAAGAGTTTGAAGTACTTGTTCACCCAGAAGGGATTAAATATGAGGCAGAGAAGGTGGCTTGAGTTGTTGAAAGACTACGATATGCAGATTCAGTACCATCCGGGCAAAGCAAACTCGGTGGCCGACGCTTTAAGCAGGAAATTAGTTGGGAGTTTGGCATGTTTAGCAATGATTTCAATGGAGCCAACTATTATTGAGGAAGTGAAGACCAGGCAGATGGATGATGAATTCTTAAAAAGGGTGATTGATGAATTTGTCACCAAGCCGAGGTCAGGGTACGCCATTGAGAGTCAGGTACTTAAGTTTGAAGGAAGATTATGCGTGGCCGATGTCCCCGAGTTGAAAAGAAGAATTTTACAGGAAGCTCATGGTTCCAAATTTGACGTTCATCCAAGAAATACGAAGATGTACCAAGATGTGAAGCAAAATTTTTGGTGGCTAAATATGAAAAGAGAAATAGACGGGTTCATATCTCAGTGCCTATATTGTCAACAAGTGAAAGCAGAGCATCAAAGGCCAGCAGGACTTCTTCAACCTTTGTCAATTCTTTAGTGGAAATGGGAACACATCTCCATGGATTTTGTAATTGGGTTGCCGAGGACACAAAAGGGTATGGATTCAATTTGGGTTATAGTTGATAGATTAACTAAGTCAGCACACTTCTTGCCTGTTAAGACTACCTTTAACACCGATCGACTTGCTTTGTTGTATATGAATGAGATTGTTAGAATTCATGGAGTGCCGATGTCCATTGTGTCAGACTGAGATCCAAAGTTTGTCTCTAGATTTTGGCAAAGTCTACAAGGAGCTTTGGGAGCCGAATTAAGGTTTAGCACCACTTTTCATCGCCAGACCGATGGGCAAACAGAGAGAACGATTCAAACACTTGAAGATATGCTCAGATTATGTGTATTGGACCTCAAGGGAAGTTGGGAAGAGCATTTGCCATTGGTAGAATTTGCCTACAACAACAGTTATCAAGCCAGCATTGGTATGGCGCCGTATGAAGCTTTGTATGGAAGGAAGTGTAGATCGCCGATATGTTGGACCGAAGTAGGAGACAAAGCTTTGATTGGTCCCGAACTGGTTCAAGTGACGACAGAGAAGATTAAGCTCATTCAGCAAAGAATTAGGACTGCTCAGAGTCAACAGAAGAGTTACGCCGACCAGAGGAGAAGAGAGTTGGAATTTGAAGTTGGGGATCATGTATTCCTGAAGATTTCGCCGATGAAGGGAGTTTCAAGATTTGGGAAGAAATGTAAATTAGCAACTTGTTATATTGGACCATTTGAAATCCTTGAAAGAGTTAACCCAATTGCTTACAGACTTGCTTTGCCGCCAGAATTAAATCAAGTCCACGATATGTTTCACATTTCGATGTTGAGGAAGTATATTCGGGATCCATTGCATGTGATTGATCATTTCAAGATTGTGATTAATGAAGATTTGGGTTATGAGGAGAGGCCGATACGGATTCTTGATAGGCAAGTGAAACAGTTGAGGAATAAGTCGATACCGATGGTGAAGATTGAATGGAAAGAGCATTATGGCAAAGATGCTACCTGGGAAATGGAAGAAGAAATGAAAATCCAACATCCAGAGTTGTTTTCAGGGAAAGGTAACTTAAGTTTGGGGACCAAATTTCTTT